AACCCAACAGTTGGGTTAGTCCATATTTGACCCAAAGTTGGGTTGAAACAACCCAGCATTTTTTAGAGTGTACATTTATTTGATTACAAATACAGTAAGAACAGTAATATTGTGCAGTATTATTACAATTTAAAATAATTGTTTTCTATTTAAAAATATTATAAGATGAAATTGTATTCCTGTCATGCAAAGCTGAATTTTCAGCATCATTAATCCAGTCTCCAGTGTCACATGATTCTTCAGAAATCATTCTAATATGCTGATTTGCTGCTCAAGAAACTTTGATGAATAGAAAGTTCTAAAGAGCAGCATTTATTTGGATCAGAAATCTTGTGTAACATTATAAATGTCTTTACAGCCACTTTTAATAAATGTAATGCATCCTTGCTGAATTAATAAGTCCTTAATGAATTAATAAAAGTATTAATTTAATTTTAAAAAAAGTCTTACTGACCCCCAAAGTGTATATTTTTTATTACTTTTTAAAATATATTTTATTTATATGTTATATATTATATTTATATCTTTTTTTTTTAACATGATATGTGACCCTGGACCACAAAACCAGTCTTAACCTCCTGAGACCCTGCATCCTCATATGAGGACATTATATTTTAGTGAATTTCTCTGAGACTGTACATGCCACAGTTTTAAGTCTGGATGTCCTGTACAGGCTTTTCAGAGATACTAAATGTTTGGATGTTTCACCATGACCACTCCCCTTTATACAAAGTTTGGTAAAAAAAATCCTGAAAACTAAAAATGTATTGGTGATTTAAAAAAAAATCAATTGTTTTTGCCTATGCATGTTTCATTCATGTCCCGATGTCCTCTACCAAGGACGTAGCATAATTTATGAATGAAATATTATTTTTTAATTTTTTTTGTTTACATTTTTTTAATGCTCTAAACAATGTAATGACATCAAAAAATACAAATTTTTTACTAAAATATTTTGCCGGGTCTTAAGAGGTTAAGTCGCTGGGGTATATTTGTAGTAATAGCCAAAAAAAACATTGTATGAGTCAAAATTATCGATTTTCCTTTTATGCCAAAAATCATTAGGATATTAAGTAAAGATCATGTTCCATGAAGATATTTTGTCAATTTCCTACCGTAAATATATCAAACCGTAATTTTTTATTAGCAATATGCATTGCTAAGGACTTCATTTGGACAACTTTAAAGGCGATTTTCTCAGTATTACCCTCAGATTTTCAAATATTTGTATCTCGGCCAAATATTGTCCTATCCTAACAAACCATACATCAATGGAGGAAAGCTTTCAGATGATGTATAAATCTCAATTTCAAAAAATTTAACCTTATGACTGGTTTTGTGGTCCAGGGTCACATATGCTATTATAGATATGCTATTATAGGCCATTTAATTTGTCTAAATAATATGTTCAAAGAATGTAAAAGGACTTGTTTTATTAAAAAAAAAAAAAAAATTAGGGAACACCAAAAAGTATTGTGAAAAAAATTGATTAATTGAGACCTTATGGTTAGTTTTTGCTCTGTTCATAGTGTAAATGTATCACTCAGAGTCTTCCGATTGACTGAGTCCTTTATTGGAGGTAGGCCAGATTCATAAAAGAAATCCTGTCGTGCACACAAATTCAGCTGGAAAGCCAACCATGACAACCTGTGTCAACCTCTCTGATATGAACAGAAGGCCAGGTGTCAGTCTTCTAACTCCGCCCAAAGCCCACCAGCACATCACTGCCAAATGCTGCCCTGCGTTTTCATTGGGGCCAAAAACCTGAATCTGTGGGGCAATTTCAGAAGTAAGTTGCAAACCCCACGCCAAATCCCTCAGAGACCGGAATGGGTCCTCTCTCTATCCTCAAGGATATCTCCCTCCCCTGCCGTTCCTCCCATCTCTCTCCTCATCTCGTAGGGATTAGAGCCCGGCTGCAGGCAGAGGGCCGCCACATCCCTTTGGCCTGCCGGAATATGAAAAGCTGGATAAGTGCTGGAGGAAATAAATCTTATTCTCACTTCCATCCTCTCCTCACAGTTAACGCGGCGAATAAGATCCCCTTCGTTACGTCCCTGCGCCGGGCGCTTATTGAATTTCTCTTGATCTTGATAGAGTGCTGATTGTTAAAGTGAGAGAGGAAATGAAGTCGCATCTCGTGGTGAATTAAGGTTGGCTTGAGGTATTCTGCTGATTTTTTTTTTTACGCTCGTCGAACATGTCACGTGGTTCAGACCTCTCATTCATGCTCTTGTGTTGTTGTGCTTTTTAATATGGATTAAAAAGTTAAAATAGATGAATATGTCTGTTCCTACACCCCATTTCGCCCCAACTGCAGCTATTTTTGGTGCGCTAACGGCCTTTTGCGTCACCGCAGAGGTGCATTCTGATTAAAATACGTTTCCCTCTAAAAGACATCTGCTGCCCGAGAACCATAACTCAGGCTGACACTAAAGAGGAGCTGTGTGTTTTGTCTGGACGGCGGTGGTATTATTTTAGTCTGCAGAGGAAAGAGACAGGAGTGGGGTCGGTGGCTGAGAGGCTTGTTTGCACGGGCGCTACTCTTTGAGACGGCTGAATGTTGAAACATAGGGACTTGTCAGGCCGTGAGGATGGTTTACATTCCTGGTAAGTGTCCGTCGATCCTGGAATGTGCACATGGAGAGGAGCACATATGGACTGGTAGAAAACAAGCCTGCTTACAATAATACCCACCAAAGAGCTGGTCACGTCAGTGTGTGTTTAAAGCGCCTGTTTGTCTGTCTGACAGCCGGCCAGAGAGTCTCGTACTGCATTGGAAAATGAGGATAGGCCTTGTGAATAAGGAATTATGTATAGGCGCTTGTGGTATTGATTAAAAGTACTACTCGGTTATATTTGAATGTAGTGAAACGATTTTCATCATTTTGTGTTTATAATTGTTTTAGTATTTATAGTATTTGAGCGACTGACACTGGTAGTTTACCCTGAAGCATGTAAAACCACTTTGCCTTATGCCACTTTTGGAAAAATGCATTATTATATATTATAAATTTCACATTTACATGGTTATATTTTGCTTTGATATAATATTCATTTAGGTACATTTAGTTAAGCCATTGTTTACACAGTTTACCTCAAAAGACATGTAGTTTAATTTGTTGGAAAAATGAAGAATTTTGTCATTCTCAATAATTTACATGATTATAAATATTTCTTTTACTTATTTATTTATTTTATTTTATTTGGGTTGATTTTTACTCATTTAATTATTTTTTAATTATTCTTTTTTTATATAAATTTGCTTTGGCATGTAATTAATTGTACCTATATAACATTACTATTAGTACAATTAGTGGGAAAATTAAGTTAAGTTAAATTGAAAAACGTTTATAATTCTTTTGACAAATAATTTACATGGTTTTAGTTTTTTATTATTATATATTAATTTTTTTAATTTTTGATGAATTTGCTTATTAATTTTACAGGTACATGCAAATAAATAAATATATAATAGTAATAAAAAACAAGCAAACAAACAAAAAACTTTTATGGCATCTCTCAAACACAAGTAGTTGTCTGCCATTTTTTTAAATACTTGAATACTACTTAGTTACTGAAGTGGTTTAAACTACTTGTCTTTCCCCTCTGTGGACGTTCCACAGCACTCCATTGAATTTCGTGCATATTTTTCCTCATAAAAGACAGTGATTTTATTTTTGAACTATACCACAAATGAGTCTGTCCCTCCAGGGATCACAGACACAAACGGAGAGTAATATCAGTAAGTGTGTGCTGAGGTTCTTACAGTAAATATAGTAATAACTGAGAATGTAGGTTTATACCCTGCAGAGATTTCACCTCTCTTAGAACTGACTTACATACACATGATTTTTCCATGTGGCAGTGCAACACAGGGTTCCTGAGCCAACTTTAATGCAAATATTATTTAAACGCTTTCAAAAAAGTTATAATCATATTTGTCCACCAGTGATTTGCAGTTTAAAATATTCTGTCAATATAATACTCCCCACTCTTCAAAAAAAGAAAAAACAATTATATTCCATAAGATTGTAAGACTGTAATATCCAACCAGTTGTTTTAAAATGTAAATATAATAAACTATAATGCATGGTGGAAATTTCTGAGAAACATCTGTCCCACTGTACAGAACCAGTGCATTGAATGTGACCTAATAGGATCATTTAACATCATTTTGGCTTGTTTAGTTAATGCAAAAGCAACCAAGTGTCAAAGCAAGTGTCTTTTAGCTGGTCTAATCACCTGGGTAAATTCTGATTTAATGCATTCAAGTGATCCCGTTTCTCTCTCTCTTCCCCAGTGCAAGCGTCTGGAACAAGAGCTGCTTCGTGTGAAAGAGCCGTGCCATAATTCTGCAAACAGCACCCGCCACCTGGCCACCCAAAACAATCGGGAACGAGCGAGCAAGGTAAAACACACACACACACACACACACCTCCCACGTGGGAAGAAGCCTCTGGAAATTAATGTCATGAGCCCTTGGGTTAGCCTGCGCTAGCTTTCACCGAATACACAAAACACGCCAGGGTGTTTGCCAACAACACCATTCTCGAATCCGACCTTCACCGTACGTGCAGTTCCGCATATGATGCCCCGGCCCCTTTATCAGCCCGTCATTACACTCTCCACTGTATCATTCATTAACTTCTATTTGCTCTCTCCTGCTCTTGTTTTCCAGCGATTTGCAGCGATAGACTGGCGGCCCCGGGTGTCTGTTTGACAGGGTTTTAGGATGACACGGGCTGGTCAGTGTGCTGCAATGCCTCGCCGCGGGTCTGTCAGGGAGACGCAGGGCAAACATGAGCCTATTTGATTTGCTGTATTTATCTGATGCAGCCAGAGCCCTTGAGTTTAATGCAGTGCTGTAAAAGGGCCGTCATTAGATAGAGCTGAGTAAACATGCGCTGAGAGAGACTGGGGCGAGTATGGGTGCTGAGTCAGGGCCATTCCCCGGACCTTAACACAATTACTAACCTGCATCTTAAGTGTATATACTAATGCACTTCATTTGATGTCATCATCCACTTAAGATGTCAGAGTGGAGGTTGAGCTTGTGTTATTGTTAGTGTGGTGACAGTTTTTATTTGATTTAATTTGATTACTTAGCGTGTGTATTTTTCCTTTCGATATACAGTTTTATTCATTGCATATGTACATATGAGTGCAATGGCAGTGAAATTATTATTCTTTAATAGTATATTATTAATAGTAATAACAAAAAGTTAGACAATTTCATAATAATAAATGTTATTATTTATTTTACATGATAATAAGAACAACAAGAAAAGTTAATATTAGATAATTTAATAAATAATAAATCCAAAGAAATTATTAAATTTTATTATTATTTATTTACTGTACTTAAATGATGGTGATGATGATGATTATTATTTAATAAATCAATAATAAATCAAAATAAAGTATTTTATTATTTATTTATTTTATGTAATTTATTTAATAAAGATAATTTAATAAATTAAAATTTAGTAATAATAGAAATTATTTTATTATTACTTGTTTTCCAGCGATTTGCAGCGATAGACTGGCGGCCCCGGGTGTCTGTTTGACAGGGTTTTAGGATGACACGGGCTGGTCAGTGTGCTGCAATGCCTCGCCGCGGGTCTGTCAGGGAGACGCAGGGCAAACATGAGCCTATTTGATTTGCTGTATTTATCTGATGCAGCCAGAGCCCTTGAGTTTAATGCAGTGCTGTAAATGGGCCGTCATTAGATAGAGCTGAGTAAACATGCGCTGAGAGAGACTGGGGCGAGTATGGGTGCTGAGTCAGGGCCATTCCCCGGACCTTAACACAATTACTAACCTGCATCTTAAGTGTATATACTAATGCACTTCATTTGATGTCATCATCCACTTAAGATGTCAGAGTGGAGGTTGAGCTTGTGTTATTGTTAGTGTGGTGACAGTTTTTATTTGATTTAATTTGATTACTTAGCGTGTGTATTTTTCCTTTCGATATACAGTTTTATTCATTGCATATGTACATATGAGTGCAATGGCAGTGAAATTATTATTCTTTAATAGTATATTATTAATAGTAATAACAAAAAGTTAGACAATTTCATAATAATAAATGTTATTATTTATTTTACATGATAATAAGAACAACAAGAAAAGTTAATATTAGATAATTTAATAAATAATAAATCCAAAGAAATTATTAAATTTTATTATTATTTATTTACTGTACTTAAATGATGGTGATGATGATGATTATTATTTAATAAATCAATAATAAATCAAAATAAAGTATTTTATTATTTATTTATTTTATGTAATTTATTTAATAAAGATAATTTAATAAATTAAAATTTAGTAATAATAGAAATTATTTTATTATTAATTTTGCTTAATTATTTTATTATTACTTATTTATTTTACTTAAATTATTATTGAAATGTTAATTTATTAAAGGAGTCATATGATGCTGATAAAAAGAACATTATTTTGTGTATTTGGTGTAATGAAATGTGTTTATGCGGTTTAAGGTTCAAAAAACACATTATTTTCCACATACTGTACATTATTGTTTCTCCTCTATGCCCCGCCTTTCTGAAACGCGTCGATTTTTACAAAGCTCATCGGTCTGAAAAAGCGAGACGCCTTCTTTCATTGCGTGAACATTTGGGCGGCGTTATGTTAATGTTATGTTAAATCTTCCCACATCGTGACGTAGACATGTGGGGGCGTGTTGGAACGAGCCGTTTTAGGTAGGCGTGGCTGACTCTTAACTTTTATAAAGAATATCTCTTTGGATTTGAGACTTTAGTCTTTGCAACTTTACAGATCTTCTTTATGCACCAAGTGCTTGTAACACTTCAATGAGAAATGTGACCCCTTTAAATAAATGTTAATTCTCCTTGTTGTCATCTTATTTATTTATTTAGCCCTAATTTTAAAAAAGTGGTTTAAGGAAAAGTATTTCAGATGCTTATTTATTCATGCGTATTTCTAGGCCTGTAATCACTTGTTTTGATGGTGTAGCCATATGATAAACATTTGCTGTCAGATTCACAGTTTATGAAACGAACCAATGGTGAAGGGCAAAACTGATCATAACAATATTCCAGTTTCGTGATATCACAGATTTTATGATTAACAAATAGATGCCGGTTTGTTTGTAATTTAGTCGTGATGATTTGGATTGTGGTCTGAAAATGCTGGGATGCAACTGTGCCACATGGCAACCATTACCGGTAGATATGAAATAATTATTTATAATCTGATAAAAAGGTCCAGTCTGTCTCCAGGCAAAGCTTTCTAAAGATTTTTAAAAAATTATATTTCACATTTAAGACGGTTCGGCTGATGGCTTATTAAGAAATATATTAAATTTTGTTATTAATGTAGCACTTGGTTTTTCTATAAATCCCCTTAATTATAGATTGACTCCTGGGATTACAGAGCGGGGTTTTTAATTTAAAACGAAATGGGAACAGCTGTCGTAAATTTAGTCAACAGTGCCAGGAACATATCCACAAAACAATTTAAAAATGAACAGGACTTCCACTTATCGATTGACATTTTACTTTAAAGAAAGCCGGAGGAAATCTGCAGGGTGAAAAAAAGAGTTGAGTTTAAGATGATGAGCAAAGACTTATCGTCCTCAGATCTTTATATTTAGCTTTTAGCTCACACTAACTTTCAGGGATTTCATTTGGATGATTAATTTCAAGGTTTTTAATCGCCACACTCTTTAAGGATAAAGAACGTTAAGCAGTGCTCTTTTTTTATATGGAAATAATGATCAAAGATAGGCCAGTTGTTTTTTTTCTTTTCTCTTTTCAATTAAGATGGAAATTAGGGGTGTAGTTAGTGTTTGTTGTCATTTCATCATCATTTTTCACCAGAACAGCAAAGCACCTGCAAATAGTTTTTTGGCTTGTGACTTTTGTCAGTTGATAGCACCCAGGGCTATTCCTTGTCTTATCTCTTCGGTCCGTCTCATTTTTACCTCGGTGCATGTAAAAGAACCTGTTCAACAACCATCTCAGAGCCGTCACACTAAATGTATCTTACAGCTTTATTGTGGGTCAGGTTTTGCTATCTTTGTGGCCACCAGTTGCCCACAGTAAAAAATGACCTACAATAACAAAAAATGGGCTAAATAATGTCTAATTAAAATCTAAAATGTCTAGAATGTGTATAGAAGGGTGTGCTTGTGTTTTAAGGTGCAATAATTATCAGGCACGCATTTAATCTGTGTGCATCCTTACCCCTTGCATGTTCATTTTTATCTATTTAGCTAATTTGACTACAATTTCAGCACTATTTAACACATTTTCCAATGTTTAAATCTTTTCTACAGGATTGCTCGGATTTTCCCCTCCAAATTAGACATAGAAAATGCAAAATAATCTGCCAATTTCATCTGAGATCTTAAATTTAAAACAATATGTTTACTGGAATTCCTGACTATAATTTAAAGTGTGTGTGTGTGTGTGTGTGCGTGTGTGTTAGCAAGAAAGCAGCTTTGTTGGGACCAATTTTAGGTAATTTCATGAGAATAAAAGGCAAACCGTTTTGGCAATGTCTTGACAAAAAACAAGATTCATTAAGGGACAAAAATGGCCAAAAAATTGTTAATTGTTACAGTCTCTAAAGATTAGAATTATCTTACATTAACATATTACAGATTCATGTATATGCTGGTTTGTCGGCAGGTTTTAGTTTGAAGCGCGCGAGTCCCTCTAAATGCTGAGTGGGGGATGTGGACGAGAGCTTTGCCCTCGCTCTGAACCACCTGTGTTTGCTCTGCAGCTTTTCCCTCTGCATTAAAAGCAGTGAAGTGATCTCACACGCCTGCTCCTGCCCCCATCACTCTCTAGGCCTAGACCTCACCTTTAACTCTGATTTCATCTGCTCTGACCCTCATGGATCATTAAATGTGGATAATATTATCTTGATGGGGTTTTGTTTGTTGCCTCTTTGCTGTCAGTTTCCCCCAAAATGCCACTTCTGTTTAAATTGAAAATACTGAAATAATTCTGTGGAACACAAAAGTAGAAGCCAAAGCTTTCAAATCTCATTTGCATTTGTGTGCATTCAAACCTGCCACAGTTAATACCAGTGAATTAATACCAACATCTTGTCACGTTTGAATGTTTGAAATTGAATTAACTAACTTGAAACATAGCAAACTAGTTATATGGACTACTTTTATGATAATTTTATGGTGCTTTTTTTTTACTTTGATAGTCCCTGTTCACTATATGTGACCCTGGAGCACAAAACCAGTCTTAAGTCGCTGGGGTATATTTGTAGCAATAGCCAAAAATACATTGTATGGGTCAAAATTATTGATTTTTCTTTTATGCCAAAAATCATTAGGATATTAAGTAAAGATCATGTTCCATGAAGATATTTTGTAAATTTCCTACTGTAAATATATTAAAACTTAATTTTTGATTAGTAATATGCATTGCAAAGAACTTCATTTGGACAACTTTAAAGGCGATTTTCTCAATATTTTGTTTTTTTTTGCACCCTCAGATTCCAGATTTTCAAATAGTTGTATCTCGGCCAAATATTGTTCTATCCTAACAAACCATACATCAATGGAAAGCTTATTTATTCAGCTTGTTTCCCTCTTTTTGACCCTTATGACTGGTTTTGTGGTCCAGTGTCACATATAATTTTGTCCTATAGAAAAGAACGAAATGGTGCCATTTGCTTAAAATTAATCACTGAATCTAATAACAC